GAGAAGATATGGGAAGTGGCAGAAATGGATATTCTATCAAGAAGTGTTGAAAGACTGGCCAAACAAAAGGCAACTGAACAATGGGATTTATTATATAAATGGCTTGAGTCACCAATAGTGCTTGAATAACACAGAATTAAACTAAGATGTAATTGTAAGTTGAAACCTGGAGGGCAACGAAATTGAAGAAAGGTGAAAAGTTGACTTGATATCACAACATGAACAAACAGATTGGATGACAGTAGATTTTGTGTTCTCCTTCCCCCTCTTTACCCCCATATCACCCTCTACCTTTTGTATTCCTTATCTTATCCCTAGTTTTTAAAAATAAAAAATACATTAAAAAATAAAGAATCCCCAGTCATGTATCTAGGAATGTAACAGACAGCTGGGATAATGACAAACTTGCATGCTATTAATATTGGGTATTACTGGGAGGGAGCTTTTACAAATAAAGGTGACCAGCTTTTCTTGCCAATAACCAATCAGCTGAGTTCTTTTTCCCCACTCTGGCACTCATATTCTGCAACCCTGAGATCCAAGAAAAAACTTGCAGAGGAACTGGCAGAAAGATCCCATGGACTGCATAGTCCACATGCCAGAAATACTTATACACAGCTACGCGATCAGTGTTTCCTCTCAGCACAAGTAAATCAAAACATCTTTGATAACTTGCACTCTTTAATACAAGCATGAAAGCAACACTACAGTCTATTGTTCTCTCTGCCAGAGCTGAATAATGCTCTGCCAGGGATTCTTAGCCCTCCTTTCCTGGTGGGAGACAGGCAGATGGGGACACCAATAGGTGTTATCCACCAAGATGGCTGGGGGCAGGACCAGATGTCCTTTGTAAGGCCAGACCCCACCCAGCCAACCCTCTATGTGGCAAGGGAGCCAACAGCAGCTTGCTCCCTTCTGCTGCCAGGCTACAGAGCACGCCCATGCTTGGCACTCAAAGACAACAGCCTGGTTTGGCAGTGGAATTGGGTGGAGGTGCTTTTGCATCACTGTGGGTGATATTCGATCTGCAAATGGGTTCTCTTGGCTTCCAACTGCTTTTGTGGCTACCTCTGATGCCTCATGTTGCAGCAGGGAGGCATTGAACATGTTGCTTCCCTGCTTAGCCAGGCCTCACAGCATGTGTTTCCGGCCTTCGAAGAGAGCTGAGGTGGCAGCAGCTGTCGGGACCCTTGTTGGCTGCATGTGTGGCTGCAGTTGATGGAGGTGCGAAAGCGCACAAGGCAGTTTCGCCTCATTCCTCCCTCACCAATCCCCACCCTTGGGTGCAGCCATTGCAGCTGATGTTTTTCTATAATATTTTATTCAGTACTTTCAAACCTCTAAGAATGTTTTATTTTGGTGAACATGGAATAAATATACTTCCACTTGAAGATTAATATATGTTTCAAAGTCATAACTTATGGACAATATTATATAATCCAAATCTTGTTCAAGTTATATATTTAGTTTGACCATAATAATAATTTAAAAAAACTATTAATTTCTTTAACATATTTAATTTTACAATGGTGCAATGAAAATACTGACATGTTCTTATTTTATTAGGAAGAGGGTTCTGGCTTTTTGTTATCAAGTAATCATAATTCTACAATACAGTGGTGCCTCGCTTGACGATGTTAATTCATTCCAGCGAAATCGCTGTAGAGCGAAAACATCATCAAACAAAATTAAAAAACCCCACCGAAACGCATTAAAACCTGGTTAATACGTTCCAATGGGCTGAATACCTGCTCGTCCAGTGAAGATCCTCCATACGGCAGCCATTTTGGTGCCTGTAAAGTGAGGAATCCCTCCTAGAAAACAGCGGGGGGCCATTTTAAAAGCTGGTGGCCATTTTGAAACCCGACGATCAGCTGTTTGCTGATCGTCGTAAAGCGAAAAATCGGTTCCCGAAACAGGGAACCAATCAACGTGAAGTGAAATTCCCCCATTGAAAACATTGTTTTGCGATCGCAAAAGCTATTGCAAAAACGTCAACATAATGCGGATTCGTCGTAGAGCGGAGTAATCATCCAGCGGGGCATGACTGTAATTTAGGGTTTTCATATAGGCCACCTGAGACATAAGCTGGTTTGAAATAAGTACCTTTAATTTGTCTCTATTTTGGTCTAACAGAATTGACAATGCATTGGGGACAGTATAATACAGGGGTTACCAGAACTTACTGGGGGACATCGGTGGGGAGTGGAGGACCCACCATATAGGCAATATGGCCACCTAAATAGATGATGATGATCATCATCATCGTCATCATCATCCCCCCCTCCATGGGCACAGGGCTTGTTGAGGCAGAGGGGCTTGCATGATTCAGTGAGGATGAAAGTTATGCTGAAGTGTCTCTCAAGCCAAACAGCTGAGAAGCCAGACCAACTGTGTCCTCCAACCGTCAATTATGATGAGAGGAAATAAACAGAAATCCATACCAGATCGGTTGTGACCTAGGTCAACAAGGATTGCGTCAGATTCTATAGCCCCAGGGCATCTGGCGACAAATGGGCTACAGGGCTCAGCAGACCCTAATGAGGGATCGAGACAGAATGCTGCAAAGCTACTGGAACAATGTAAACCTTGGACTCTCACCGAAAATCGAGAAATTATTAAATGTTATTACAAGGCAAACCCAACAGCCCATGGTTTTCAAAAAAGAATGACGGAAATTTAGAAAACAAAACATCGAAGTAGTGACATAACTGAACGATTAATGGACCAGAGAAGGTTTATCATCTGGAGTAAAGTGTTTTCAGAACTGAAATTGCAACAACTAGAAAAAGTGGCAAAATCTACACAGAACAATGACCATAATATGGAAGACAAATGGAGGGTAGAGGTAGACACAACAGTGGAAGAAAGCATCAATAGAGGAACAACTCTATTGTGCATGGAACAACCCAGAAATTATGAGCAGTGCAATTCAATCACTTACTTAAAAATTCTACAACTGAAGACTGGATGACAACAGGCAGTACATTTCTGATAATGAAAGATCATCAAAAGGGTAATGAACCCAGTGATTATCAACCTATTACATGCCTTCCAACAATGTTTAAGCTCCTCACAGGAGTACTTGCAAGATTTAGATATAAATACTTAAATGAAAACTCCCTATACCCAACTGAACAGAAAGGGAACTTTAAAAAGTCAAGAGGGACAAAAGATCAGCTGCTTATTGATAAAATGATCCTGAAAAATGCAAAAAGACAAAAAATAAACCTTAACATGTCCTGGATAAACTATAAAAAGGCATTTGACTTTGTCATCTCTGCTGTTTAACATCTAGATATAAATACTTAAATGAAAACTCCCTATACCCAACTGAACAGAAAGGGAACTTTAAAAAGTCAAGAGGGACAAAAGATCAGCTGCTTATTGATAAAATGATCCTGAAAAATGCAAAAAGACAAAAAATAAACCTTAACATGTCCTGGATAAACTATAAAAAGGCATTTGACTTTGTCATCTCTGCTGTTTAACATCTCACTAATCCCTATGTCAATAATTTTAAATAAAACTGGATTGCGCTACCATATTTCACAACAAGCTAGAAAAATCAATGATCTCTTATACATGGATGACCTAAAGCTATATGCAAAAAGTTCCACAGAAATAGAATCACTGCTAAACACAGTGCAAATATTTAGTGATGATATCCAAATGAAATTTGGAATTGACATCTGTGCAGCTCTGTCTATACATTGTGGGAAGATCCAAAACTAGACGGAATACAGCTAAAAAATGGCAATATTATAAAATCACTCTCAAGTGATGAAAATTCTAAATACTTTGGAAAACTAGAAGCAGACAACATCATACACACAAAAGTTAAAGAACTGACAGAAAGAGAATATATCAAAAGACTGCGGAAAACCTTAAAATCAAAAACTTCAGTTGGCAGGATGGGCACAGTGGTGTCAAGACAAGTTAAAGGTTTAGTCTTTTCATTTCTTTGTTTTGGCCCTCATGCTCTTAGGAATCGAATCTTTGACTCTCATGCCAGCCAAGATAGGGCTGCCATTGTCAAGTCACTATTTTCTATTTGGCATCCTCAATTTCAAGTGAATCAAGCAAGGTTATTCTACTTCGAGGCACTATCCTTCCTACAGCTCTGCATATTTTTTTACAGAACTTAGATTTCAATACATGCCCTCTCCATACAGTATTTTGAAAGGCAATACAAGGAACCTTAGCTTCAGAACAAATATGTTTCTACAGCTGTAATCAGATTGCTTGCTGCAAATTAGTCAAAAAGGGCAACATACGAACATAGCAAATTAAGAGCATACATGTGGAAAATACTGAACTGAAAAATATTAAGTAACAAAAATAACATTGAGGATTACAACAATTAAGAATAAAAATGGTTTACAAAACAAATGTTTGGAAAATAGATGGAGTCTATAAACACTGGCCAGTGTCCTGTTCATCCCAGTATAATGTAAAGTCACATATCCCCAAAAGAACTGACTGCATAATGCTTTGGCATAAATGTGTAGGTGGCCCTTCCACCTTGGTGCTCAAGTAGCTACCACAGGCACAAACTTAAGTTGTTTGTGTTTAATTGTACAAAAGGATTCTGACCACACTTCCATTTTGGAAACAATTTTAAAACTGCCCTACTGAAGAAGTATTTTGAAAATAATAATTAGGTCAGAACAACCATGTTGGGGCATGGTGACCTGCACCAGAACACAGCAGCCCAATCTGGACCAAGGCCAAATTGATCCAAATTTGGCCGAAGTGCTCCTGGATGCAGGAATCAGCCAAATCATGTGCACAGCATTACTTTCTACTAAAAGAACAAGCAAACTACTACAAATCTGAACCAAACATTATAGTAAAAATGTAAAATGGATCAATTATCATAATCTATATACTGTTCTACATAGGTTAGGCATCCTTCATAAATCATCTCAAGGTCTACAGATGGTGATATTTGTCCAAAAATGAAGTGTTTCATCACACACACCAACAGACAGACACACCTGTAGGTCCAGGTATGCCAGCTTCCCCTTTAGAACCTGGTCTTCCTGGAAGGTTTATAGTAGTTCCCCTGTCACCTGTCAGGGAAAAGAAATACAATGTGTTTTTCTATATTTTTATAACTGTTTAACATCTAACGTGCAAGCATTAACAGAATTTTCTTACTGTAAATCTATTCTGAAGAAATTCTGAAAAATTTCTCTTACTTTATAGAGGAGAGGGTATCTTTGACTACAAGAAGTTGTAGATTAGAAGGTCTGTGGTTCTTTTACATAAACCTAAAAAAACCCTTTGTAATTTTTAATGTAAGACCTCTATAGATAGCAAGTTGTCCTGGAATTCAGTGCCTAATGCTGTGGATGTTCACGTTTCCATCTTGAAATACTGCTTCTTCATGGATCTTTTTAGCCGTTTCATATCTTGGATTGAAATTATGTTCCTCCTCTCCTTTAGTATCAGAAAAAATAAACCCAAGGAGACTTTAAAGTAATGTTTCCCAAGCTGGGAGCTGTGATCCTTAAGGGGGTTGTGAAGTTTTTTCTGGAGAGTTGTGGGTCACCTTATATTTGTTGTAGCCCTTGTTTAAATAATTTCTTTCTTGACCTTTCAGAGTGGGATATTAAAGTTACCATGTATATGTATGTTATAAGAAACAAGCTCTTTGGGGAGAGAAAGAAGCTTCTACTTTCTGAGAAGTGATGACTTTACCCCACTGAAAATACCTTTTTATACAAATGTGGCAGGAGATTGCAGGTTACTTGGCTATTATAAAAGGGGATGACAGTGCAAAAAAGGTTAGGAGCCACTGCCCTAAAGCATCTCTTCTTGCAAGAGACAATCACAGCCCCATAGGAAGCTACCTAGTCTACTACAGGATTGCTAACACTGACCTCTCTAGGATTTCAGACAGAATTTCTCCGTATACCTACCTGCAGACCCCTGGTATTATGCACCAACCTGCATAAGTACTTATCAAGCTCTACCCCACTTACCTTCCAAAAGTGGACAATACTGTAATCACAGATGTACGGATGACACAAACTGATCACTCTTATACACCAAAGGGGAATGCCCAGACCCTGCCATTAGCAGGGCTTTCAAGTGATGAGCAAAATGCCCCTATTTCGTTGCTGTTTCACAGCAACTTAAAGGACAGAATTCAACATGCTATTACTTGACAAAAAGTGGAAAGGGCAAAGGGGGCTATTGGAACAGAGGTTGCATTGGCAGTTGTTTTGACAATTGTCCTACACCTCCTGCTAGGGAGTGCCACCTTTAGAATTTTCCTCACTTGAGTGAATCATCTGGAGTCTCTGTTCCAATGTGTTAAGATTGAAGACAGCAGAGGAGAAAGAAATGTAAACAAGCAAAGAAAGGATATAGTGGGGGACCCGAACTAGAACCCAATAAACACATTGTTTCCTAACCAAGAGACAGAAACAGCTTGGGAGGCTGGAGTGTTTCCCTGCGGAGATATTAAAGTACAAGCTGACATTTCCTCCTTATGATAGAAAAGGCAATCTGGAAGGATACAGAAAGTCTTCCTCACTCTACAATATAATGACAGGTTGTTGTTGTTTAGTCGTTTAGTCATGTCTAACTCTTCGTGACCACATGAACCAGAGCACGCCAGGCTCTCCTGTCTTCCACTGCCTCCCAGAGTTGGGTCAACTTCATGTTGGTAGCTTTGATGACACTGTCCATCCATCTCGTCCTCTGTTGTCCCCTTCTCCTCTTGCCTTCCCACTTTCCCAACATAAGGGTCTTTTCCAGGGAGTCTTCTCTTCTCATGAGATTGCCAAAGTATTGGGGCCTCAGCTTCAGGATCTGTCCTTCCAGTGAGCACTCAGGGTTGATTTCCTTCAAAATGGATAGATTTGTTCTCTTTGCAGTCCAGGGGCCTCTCAAGAGTCTCCCCCAGCACCACAATTCAAAAGCATCAATTCTTCGGTGGTCAGCCTTCTTTATGGTCCAGCTCTCACTTCCATACATTGCTACTAGAAAAACCATAGCTCTAACTAAGCGGACTTTTGTTGGCAAGGTGATGTCTCTGCTTTTTAAGATGCTGTCTAGGTTTGTCATCATTTTCCTCTCAAGAAGCAGGCGTCTTTTAATTTTGAGGCTGCTGTCACCATCTGCAGTGATCATGGAGACCAAGAAAGTAAAATCTGTCAGTACCTCCATATCTTCCCCTTCTGTTTGCCAGGAGGTGATGGGACCAGTGGCCATGATCTTAGTTTTTTTTATGTTGGGCTTTTTTGCACTCTCCTCTTTCACCCTCATTGAGAGATTCTTTAATTCCTCCTCACTTTGCCATCAGAGTGGTATCGTCTGCATATCTGAGGTTGTTGATATTTCTTCCGGCCATCTTAATTCTGGCTTGGGATTCATCCTGTCCTGCCGTTCGCATGATGTGTTCTGCATATAATTAAATAAGCAGGGAGACAATATACAGCATTGTCGTACTCCTTCCCCAATTTTGAATCAACCAGTTGTTCCATATCCAGTTCTAACTGTTGCTTCCTGTCCCACATATAGATTCTCAGGAGATAGATAAGGTGGTCAGGCACTCCCATTTCTTTAAGAACTTGCCATAGTTTTCTGTGGTCCACACAAAGACTTTTGCGTAGTCATTGAAGCAGAAGTACAGTAGATGTTTTTCTGGAACTTGAAATGACAGGTTACCTACCTGTAATTGTAGTTCTTCGAGTGGACCTCTGTGATTCACATTATGGGTAATCTGCACATGCATGGAATCTCGTCTGAACATTCTAGAGCTTCTGTGGTGGCAAAAAGATACATTAGCATAAACCCTCCCCCCTGGTATATGTACTTTGGCGCCAGGCTCTCCTTTCAGTTAGGTCAACTGCCGCATAAAGAAAAAGGGCATGACAGTGGGGACGCTGGGTCGGGATGTGTGAATTACAGAGGTCCAATTGTGTCATTCTTCTTTGTGGCCTCTGTGAATCACACTATGGGTGACTAACAAGCTGTCTTACCCAGAGGAGGATGTCACGCCAAGGTAGATTATAACTCAGCACGCCCAAAAGCAGGATCAGATTTCTGCTGAACGTCCAATGTGTAGTGATTGATAAATATGTACGGCTGTGCCCATGTGGCAGAGGCACAGACATCAGGTAGAGGGATGCCTAAAAGAAATCCCATAGGAGTTGCCAACGACCTGGTGGAATGAGGGCAGATACTCTGTGGCGCTGGAGCTCGACCAAGCTGATAAGCTAGCTATGGCGTCTTTGAGTATTAACGACTGTATTCCATCCTGCAGAGTTTGAGATGGAGGTATGATGGTGTGTGACGGTGGAGGAAGCTGGTGGAATTTCATGCGGTACCTGTTCCGTATGATGGAGAGGACCCATGCATCTGTGGTGATGTGTGCCCATGCAGATAAGTGCTTCCACACAGGTAAGAAGTGGGAGATAGTATTGGGATCTCAGCCGTTTGAATGTCAAACGTGATGCTTAGGCTTACGGTAATTGTGCCTGGTTGTGGTCTGTTGATGAGGCTTGGCTTGTAAGGTTGTTGTTTATATTAAGGTACACAAAATGTTTGCCTTTGAGGTTCTTGCTGGAATTTTTAGTAAGAGGTTTATGGGTGGTGCCACTGATAGCATTGAGGGCACTGTTGGTATATGGGGTATACTCCCCAACACCTGGCAGCTGTCCTCTTTTTCTGAACATTCTCAAGAATGTTATCCATCTCAGCATTGAAAAGACAAACTCCATCGAATGGGAGGTCTTCAATGTGGCGCACATATCTTTGGTGAGACTCGCAGTTCTAAGCCACGAGAAGCATCAAAGTGCTACAGAGGTAGCCATTGATTTACACGTGGTATCAACAGTGTGTTTAGCAGACAGCATCTGTTGTTTTGCTATCAAGAGACCCTCTTGTTGAAAAGTTCGTGCTAAGACGTTTTCCTTCAGGAGCGCATCAATAAAGGTAGACATAGTGTCCCAAAGAAAGCACAGATAAACGCCCATAGCTCCTTGGTAGTTGGTCACTCTCATGTTGAAAGCAGCAGAGGAATATAGCCATCTGTACATAGAGACAATCCGCCTGCTATCTTTATTAGGTGGTATTAGCACTTGTTGGTGTTGAGAGTGAGACTGTGAAGCTTTGACAAAGATGGAATTGGGAGCTGGTTGTTTTTGTAAAAAGACTCCATCCACATCATGTACTCAATAAAGGTTGTCAATGCATTTAGACACCAAGTGAGATGATGCCAATTTGGTCCAAGAATGCCTAGCTGTACTTAGGAGAGAAGGGAGCATGGATATGTGGACCCGTGTGGTAGTGTCTTTAGAGATGGAATCATAAAGATGATCTGCTGTTTCAGTTGTTGGGTCTCTGGATTTGCAGGTTGAGGGATATGGCCATACGAACCATTAGTTGAACATAGGTTTGAAAATCCTCTGCTGGTGACAGAGGATCTGTGTCTGCCAGGTCAGAGTCTGGAGATGTTAAAAGTACTGATGGTGTTTGAGGCCTGAGACTCTGGTCAGATGAATCAATATTGACGTCGAGTGCTTGGTCCTCAAAGTAATGGTGTCGACGCTGAGCTGTCAATGTTGAGGGGGCATCGGTAGACAGCAGTCGATCAAAGATAAACAATCCCCCATCTCCAAGGAGATTAAGGGGAAGCCGGAGAAGGAGAGATTCCAGAAAATTAGTCAATCCTTATGAGCTAAGACGAGCCCTAGATCTCAGCCAGGCCCTGCACTAATTTTCCTTCCTCAAGTCCATCCCCTTTGTTAAGTAAAAACAAGTAACACAGACAATCCATGAGTTTACACTCAGGCAAATCTGGGCTCTATAAGGTAGCAAATATACATGGCCAATTAGATAGGTTAGTCTGTTCAAGAAACCAATGCATGCAATTCCAAAACATTACTGCTTTATTAAGACATATGGTTCAGAAAAGAATTCAGATTATAGTAAAGCATTTCAGTTAGAAACATTTCCATGTCAAGACAGACAGATCACCCCCACCACTCCAGCTAGAAAAATAAAACAAAAATTGCATTCTAAACTAGAATAATGCATAAGCATAGTCATTCTTACGTTCCTGTGATTCCATAGTCCATAATCCACCAGGACAGTTAGAGTTCATTTGTAATCCAAATGACCAAGTTGGTAAAAAGGCTTCATTCAAAAGTTATAATCCATTTTGCGAAAAAGCACATATCTGTCCTTTCTCAGTCAAACTCCATCTTTTTTCAACTTCCACCAACTTCCTTCTTCTTCCCAGGATGCCTCATAAGGAACACCCCCTCCTGGGTCTTGTTGTCCCGCCTAACTTTCTCATGGGAGCTTGAGTTGTCATCATGTCTTGTGGCAGAATTATTATGACTACCAGGAATGTAACTCTTTGGCTCTCCTTAGCAACTAGATAACCAGAGAACGAAGCTTCTCTGAAACAGCATGTAAAATTTTCCTACCACAGACACAGACATTAAATCAAGATGGATGCTATTGGGACAATCTTAGGACTACATATCCCATTCTAATAAACATAAAAACACAAATCATCATACCGATGTCCAATATTGACATTGACATGGACAGGGGTCAATATTGAGGATCTTTGATATCTGAGGTGTCGGTATGGAGGTGATGTCGATACTAAGGCTGTCAGTGTCAAGACAGCTGTCAAGGTGGTAAAGGCGTTGATGGACGACATTATATTATGGTGGAATAGACAGGAGCCAGTGATGCTGAGCGGGATGAGCGCTCATGGTCCTCCTGATGGACAGGGAAATAGAAATTTGCTGGTGCAGGGAGATCTGGGTGGAGAATTTGAGCCAAAGAATATTGATCGGCTTGCCTGGATCTCTTAGGCGATGGCAGATAAAAGGTATCATGTAGTCCTGGGTGATCATGGTAATAAGATCACTTTGACACTGAAGGCTCGCCAGCAGAGACAACATGCTGTGGCAGCGCTGCCAGACTGGGAAAAATGACTGGTCTATAGTGTTTGGCAGGCTTCTCCATTGGGCACCGACTGGGGCAAACAGCATCCCAATGATGGTGCTGAGCATGATCTCTTTCCGCGCGAGAAGTGAACACTCTCATAGGCTTGGTGCCTTTGTTGATGTGCCAGAGGCCAAGGTGGTAGGCCTACTGGGGCAGAGTAAGGCATAGTTTCTGGTTGTGTTTCAGCACCATGGATGTCTGACGAGACAATTTGTGAAGACTCGCTGGGAGAGCTCTAGGATTGTTGCAAGCTATCAGGGGAAGCCATGAGTCAATCAACATGCTGTTCCCAATTGGGAGACTGCGATGGTGATGGTTGATGAGGTGGAGGTGTCTCCTCATCTGAAAGAGAACCAATGCAGATGAGGTCTCCAGAATCCAGTCGCTGTAGAGTTGGGGAAGCGGTTTTGGAAGGCTTCGATTTCAAAGACAGCCTTCTTTGGAAGTGACAGTTCTGGTGCTGAGGAAGCATTGATGGAAGGTTTTCTCTTAGAGGCTGTTTTTGTTGTTGAGGGTATTGACATCATCTGCTTAGGCTTGTGAACCCGTATGATGGTTGAGGTCAGGGGCACAGCTGGTTCTCCCTGATCCATGGGAGATGGAGTAACTGAAGGATGTTTTGTCGCTTCGGGAACAGTTTTGTACATAGCTTTCATGTGGCAGATGGACTTGCAGGCAGATTGGCTTAGCAGACTTAGCAGGCTGAAGAGATTGCTCCCAAAGCTGAAGCCTGAGCCTGGAAAGGTGGCTGTGCAGAACTCCGGCGTTAAAAGTTTTTGCAGTGAAGGCACGTGGAAGTTTGATGAGCCTCACCAAGGCAAAAAAGATATTTAGCATAGCTGTTGGAAAGCAGGATTTTGTTATTGCAGGCCATGCAGCATTTAAATGGGGCTGAAGAGCCCATGAACCGAAGAACAGTTTGAAAAGAAGAAACGGGGGGAGGGTGCTTCGGCCCTAAGGCTGGAGTGCACTTTTTAAAATATATATATATATTTATAAATGGTAAAGAAGATTTTTTTTAAAAAAAAAGTTCAATAACTTTCCTTTATTTCACTTTCAGGTTTTGCAAGAAGCACAACTGAGGCTCTTCAATGCAGTGGTTGAAAAAAACTGAAGGGAGAGCCTGGCGCCAAGGTACATATACCAGGGAGGAGGGCTCTACGCTAATGTATCTTTTTGCTACCACAGAAGCTCTAGAATGTTCCGATGAGGCTCTGCACATGTGGAATGTGACTCATGTGGTTCACACTATGATACCCATAATGTGATTCACAGAGGCCACGAAGAACTCTTCATTACTTCTCGTATAATAAAAAAAAATGATAGATGAAATCAGAAATGAAGCCTAGAAACATCTAAAACATCACCAATAAACGTAAGATTGGATCCATGCTCTGCAAAATTACATACATTCTTTCTAGTGAAATCAACTTGTGCTGTAGCAAGTCACTGGACACAGCTTCTCATTCTGTATGCAATTGTCCATACATATCTTTAAAAACTGAGGTAAATTGTTCATAAGTGCACTCACCAATTTCTCCAGGCTCGCCACTTCCACCAGGTATACCCGCAGACCCCGGCAAACCCTTTTCACCCTGTCACATGGTTAGAAATGGATATGAGGCTATTAGTGACAATAAACATTACTCATCCTCCAGCACCAGAGTGCTTCACCAGCTCCTGAGGTCATTGGTTCCATTGTGGTACTGCTCTGACAATTAGGAAGTTTTTCCAGATGTCCAGTCTAAATCTGGATCTTTGTAATTTGAAAATCAGCTTGCTTTGTTTTGTGTGTACCATTCCATGGTTCCTTCACAAAGGCCTTTTAATTATGTAAGCAGTCTTCAGTCCTTCTTAAGGAGAAAAGCAGGGTAAATGGTTTTAATTAATTAATTAATTGGTGCATTGTTTTTTCATTCATAGTTATGGTATGCACAAACTACTAATGAAGAACAGATTATGTAACTAAAACCAAGTTTATTTGAACTAAGTAAACTCTGAGTAAAAGGAAAAAATTGTTTGAGACTGAAAACACAGAAAATGTTTCCTTACCCTCCGTCCTGTGATTCCCGGGAAGCCTGGAATACCTTGAGATCCTGGGAGGCCAGCATAGCCTGGAAGGCCTCTGATCCCTTTAATTCCAATGTCTCCTTTTTGACCTTTTTCATCACCTGGAAATCCAGGTAAGCCTGGCCTTCCTGTCTTGCCAGGTAAGCCCAACACTCCTTTACTGCCTGCAAGACAGTTTGCAACATTAATTTATGGTTAGCGTGGCAGTTGGTGAACATTCCATAACACAAAGTTTAGTTTCAGATAGAGGGCTGTATCATATTCCTCTTATTTTTATTCCACAATGTGAAATAGGTTCAGGTCATGAATATTAATGGACTATCTGCATGTATCAATGAGAGTGCTGGAGAGGCGGAGTCGTAAGATATAAGAATCTCTGCAGAAGGAGGAGAGGGGAATTTTAGAAAGACTTGGGAGAGGGTTGGTGGTTGAAAGTGGATGAAGTAGGATGTTTTGATAAGAGTTAACAACATTCACTGTACCTTCATCACCTGCAATAATAAACAACTTCTATTTGGTTCTTTTTAAAATGACACATTGCCTGGACCTCTATTATTAATAATAAACAATGTTGATGTAATCAACTGGTGGCAGAGACACGTAGCTTGTGCCCTTTGCTTGGTGAAACAACCAAGGGTAGCAAAGCACTGGGTTATGAAACAATCCAGTGAAAAATTGAATTGGCTTGAGTTCGAAGGTATTCCTAGCTAGGAGGGGTTAGGATCTGTGGTAAGAAGTGGCTCCCTATTAGAGTCTTGTGGAAGATTTAGTTTTGGAGCTTCTGAACACAGACCTGGAGAATACTAAGATAAGGAAAACACCTATTCAAGAGAAACCATTTACCTCAACATTTACAAGACCAAGGTACTAGCTCATAGTCCTGAGCTCTGAGGGTAAAGAACAGCAGCAGATGGAGTAGAAACTTACGTCAAGATAGATCTGAGGTGATAATAAAAGCTAAAAGTAAAGAAAAGCTAAGCAAAAAGTTGTTCTTGCATCTAGAGACAAGAATCACCCAGAAAGGGAAATATTCTAGTAACAGTTGTGAGTTTGGGGGTAGCCGAGGTGAGCTGCTTGGAAAAGTGCAACCTAGTTATAAGGAAAGAAAGGTCAATTTGGTTCTTTTGAAGGAAAAGAATAAGTCTAGCTAAATAAGGAAGTGTGTTGTTTATGCCACCCAAAGGAAGTAAAAAGTGCTGGGTGCCAGGGTGCTAAGGGAAATGGGAACTCTCAAATTCAAACTGAAGAAGAAACTGAGAGACCAGTAATAATTGCATCAGAAGGTGAAAATATCCAAAACTGTTCATAGATGCCCCTGGAGCAAGCTAGAGATTTTGAGGCTAACAGAAAGATGGTATATTCCCAATTTGGGATTAATTCAGAACATCTTAGGAGAAAATTTAGATCATTTTCAAAGAAACCTAAGGAATCTTTTGCTCAACTTGGGGCCCTTTGACTCAGTATCTTAATAAATGGCTAGAACAGGAACATGTCATCTCCTTAGACCAAATGAAAAATGTGTTTGGACTACAACAATTTTATTAAGTTTTACCAGGGGAGTTGCTTTATCTTGTCAAGGACAAGGATCCTAAAAATGTGCTACAAGTATCTGAATATGCTGATTCTATTAGTGGGATCAGAGATCCTCGATTTTCTGATGTAAAAATTGGTAAAAAAGTGTGGGACGACATGGACTTTTGGATTACAACTGGAATCTAATCTTTCCTGATGGACTATGGACTATGGAGTCACAGGATACGTAAGAAAGACAACGCCTATGCATAATTCTAGCTTAGTATGTTTTCTTGTGTTATTTTTCTTAGCTGGAGTTTGTGGGGTAGTCTCTCTGACTTGACATGGAAATGTTACTTACTAAATTTCTTTGCTACAATCTGAATTCTGTTTAGAACTATCTTTCTTAATAAAAGCAGTAATGTTTAAGATTGCATGCATTGGTCTCTTGTACAAACTAGCCTAACTAATTGGCCACGAATATTTGGCTACCATATAGAGCCCAGATTTTACTTGAGTGTTAACTCATGGATTGTCTGTGTTTCTTACTTATTCTTAACAAAGGGGATAGACTTGATGAAAGAGAATTAGTGCAGGGCCTGGTTGAGAATTTGGGCTCGTCTTAACCACATAAGGACTGACTGAATCTCTGGAATCTCTCTGTCTCTGGCACCCCTAAATCTCCTTGGAGATGGGGGTAGCTTACAGGGGAGGCAGATTGAAGCCACTGAAGAAAGCAATGAAACCCTAGTTGAAAGACCCATTTTAGGTGAACATCCTGAAATGAGGGAGAAAGCTGATTTAGTGCTGATGAGAAATCCTAAGAATTCCTCCTTTATTAAGGAACAAAAAGATGATACCTTAACTGATTGCTTTGAAAAAGTTAAGAAAAATTCCATTCCACTGACCCTTGAACATCCAGAGTGGTATTGTGTGGAAAAAGATATATTATATAGAGATGTTTTACTGACTCCTCATAGGGGAGGAGAAGGACCCCACAAACAGTCAATTGTACCTGTTAAATACTGAGAAAATATTTTGGAAAAGGCACACAAAGATGTATTTGGAGCACAAATGAACATCTCTTGCACTAAGCAAAGAGTTGCACAGAACATTTATTGGACAGGAATGGGGAAGCAAGTTAAACAATATTGTCAAAGCTGTGATACTTGCCAAAAATGATGCACTGGAAATGACAAAACGAGGGCTATGCCCATTGCCAGTGATCTCAACCCCTTTTCAAATGCTTAGGTCTGGACCTAGTGGGACCCTTACCCAGAGCGACTAGATGAGGAAATGGATTCATTCTATCTATTGTATATTGTGCCACTAGATACCCTGAAGCAGTACCCCTAAGAAATTGAAACTGTGGCAGATGCCTTCATTAACTACATGTGCCACATGGGTTTTGCTTCAGAAATAGTAACAGATTTGGAAACATTGTTTACTTCCAAAACAATGAAGAGACAACACCCAGTGATGTACATCAGCAAGAAACTTCAGTGGGGTGAGAAACATTTGTCCAAAATCGAGAAAGAGTGTCTAGCTATCGTATGAACACTACAAAAGTTGAAGCCATACATTTGGGGAAGAAGATTTGTCCTGTGAACTGACCACTCTCCTCTTCTCTGGCTAAGGACTATTCGATCCAACAGCAGCAAATTGATTAGATGGGCACTGATTTTATAAGACTCTGATTTTGAAATCCGCAGTGTAAAAGGGACCCAGAATGTGGTTGCTGATGCTTTGTCAGCCAAATGACTAGAGAAAATTCTTTGTTTTTATCTGAGTTCAATATTAACGGTTCTGTTTGTGTAACAGTTATGGTTAAAGGGCAAAATTTGTTTGGATATTAATAAACTAAGAGGTATGTATGGTAAAAATAATAGTAAGTATCCTTAGTAATGTAAGAGTAATATAATGTAATCCATATTAATGCTACTAATGTATCCTTAGCAATGTACATAATGTAAGAGGTTAATATTTGCATTCTTCCATGTATTTTAATTTGTTTATGAGGCCAAACCATTACGTTTCCCCTCCTATCACAAACTCATTAAGGGGGGAGGGGTGTGATGTCCACCCAGGTCATGAATATTAATAGACTATCTGCATATACCAAAGAGAGTGCTAGAGAGGTGGAGTCACAAGATACAGTTGTGCCTCACGGGACGAAAAACCCACAAGACGAATGGTTTTAGCTATGGGGTTGATCTCACAAGACAAATGTTTCTATGGACGATTTCCGCAAGATGAATGTTTTTGGCTATTGGGTTGATGACTCGCAAGAGGAATGTTTCTATTTTCGCAAGATGAATGTTTTCAGGTGTTTTTTTTGTTTTGATTCAAATCTCAACTGTTAATACCCAGGATGCATTGTACATTGTGCTGGGAGATTTAAAAAGCCTCCCCAATGCAACCTGGTTTCACTTTTCCATGTGCAGTTCCAAGGTTGACTTTGAGAGAAGCAACTGTGGTCTGTGTTGTGGGTGCATCCTGTGTTTGGTGTGGTCTGTGTTGTGGAGGCATCCTGTCTTTGGAGAAGTTGGTGTGATCTTTGGAGAAATTGAAGGTTTTCAGAACTTTTTGGCCAGCAAAAGGTAGGTCTGCATTTGTTCTCCTGTGTTGGTGTGGGGGGTGTTATGTCAATTTTTTTTTTTGGTAAGTTGCACAGGAAAGGTAAGGGCTTTAGCTTGTGCTGGGGGGTGTTATGCCAATTTAAATTTATTTATTTATTTATTTATTTTGGTATGTTGCAGAGGAAAGGTAGGGGGCTTACCTTGTGCTGGAGGGGTGTTAAGCCAATTTTTTTTATTTTTTGGTATGTTGCACAGGAAAGGTGGTGGACTTAGCTTGTGCTAGGGGGTGTTATGCCACGTTTGTCCAGGGCAGTTTTGGCCAGAGGTGGAAAGGTGTGTGGGAATGTGTGTGGGAAGATGTGTGTGAAGTGGATGTGAAGCACTGTCTTTTGTTTTTGTGAATGTAGCAGCTATGCTGACATGGGTCCCAAGAAGGCTGCTTCTGCAGAGGTCGGGAAGATGACAAAGGAGAAGATTACTCTACAGATGAAGAAGGAGATCATCAGGAAGCATGACGGAGGCATGCGAGTGATAGACCTAGCCAGGGAGTACCAGAGGAATCAATCCATCGGGAACATCCTGAAGATGAGGGAGAAGATCCTTGTGACAGATGTAGCCAAGGGAGTCACCAGGATCATGAAGAACCAGCCAGCTGTTCTGGAGGAGGTGGAGAAGTTGCTGCTCATCTGGATGCAAGAGAAGCAGCGTGCAGGGGACACAGTGACTGAGGCTGTCATTTGTGAGGCCAAGGCCTTGCACGTAGACCTCGTGCAGCAGGAGCCAGGAACCTCAGCCGAGCCAGAAGACTTCAAGGCAAGCAGAGGCTGATTTGAACGCTTCAAAACCAGATCTGGAATCCATGGAATCCACAGCGTGGTCAGGCATGGAGAGGCTGCCAGTTATGATGTTCCTGCGGCTGACGACTTTGCCACGGAGTTCCTGGAGGTCATGATAACACAGGGCTACTTTCCACAGAAGGTCTTCAACTGCGATGAGACTGGGCTGTTTTGGAAGAGGATGCCCAAAAGGACTTTCCTCACTCAAGAAGAGAGCAAGCTGCCTGGCCACAAGCCCATGAAGGACCGTCTGACCCTCCTCTTCTGTGCCAACGCCAGTGGGGACCTGAAGATAAAGCCCTTGCTGGTGTACCACTCAGAGAACCCATGGGCATTCCAGAAGCACAAGGTCAACAAAGGCCAGCTGGGCGTGTTGTGGCGATCCAACGCTAGGGCTTGGGTCACACACATCCTGTTTGTGGACTGGGTCAATCTTGCTTTTGGCCCTGCTGTCAAGCAGTACCTGCTGGACAATGACCTGCCGCTGAAGGCCCTGCTCCTGATGGATAATACTCCTGCTCATCCTTCAGCCTTAAGGAAGACTTGTTAGAGGAGTTCAAATTCATTGAAATCATTTTCCTGCCACCTAACACCACCCCGGTACTCCAGCCAATGGTTTAGCAGGTGATTGCCAATTTCAAGAAGTGGTATAGCAAGGAGCTTTTCAGGCGCTTCTTCGAGGTGACCGATTGCACTAACCTCACCCTGCATGATTTCTGGAGGGACCACTTTGACATTGTCACCTGCTTGAAGTTGATCAACACAGCCTGGGACGGGATCAGCCAGAAAAATCTTAATTCTGCTTGGCGCAACCTGTGGCCAGACTGTGTGGCAACAAGTGACTCTGATGTTTCTGCGCCTGCACCAGAGTCAACAGTGATGGAGGACATTGTTGCCTTGGGGAGGACCACGGGCCTCGAGGTCACAGAGGAGGACGACCAGGAGCTGTCTACCCAGGAGCTGGTCAAGCTGCAGGCAGAGGCTACGGAGGAGCAGACCTCTTTGGAAGAGGAAGAAGAGCCAGGTGAGGAACAGCGGTCCACCACTAAACTGAAGGAGCTCTTAGAATGTGGCAAAACGTCCAGACGCAAGCACAGTGGTACCACCCGGACAAGGCTCTGGCACATGCTAACTTGTTTGAAGCAAGGGTCATGTCCCCTTTCAGAGAGAAGCTGAAAAGGTCGCAGAAGCTGACTATGGAGAGGTTCCTCATGAAGAGGCCGAGACAGGAAGAGGAACCTGCTGCTTCTACCAGCAGTGCCCAGTTGCCTTCTTCCTCCTCCTCATCCTCCTAGAAGCCTTGAGGTCAAGGCTTAAAGCCTTCTCCCAGTTGACCATCGTTTGGGCCATCACCAGGGAGACCCTCTGCAGCTCTGGGAATGTAAAAGACTGCTGCTGTGATGTGGAGACAGTTCTGTCTGCCTCCAGTTTCCTGACTTAAAACACTGGTCCTGGTGGTTTTAAAGACTTCAGCCTCACTTGTCCACTTTAAAATGTGAAATATAAAAAGTTTCTGTACTGTTGGTTTCTGTATGTTTACATGCCTTTAAAATGCACTTTCTGAAGAGTTGCACAATCCAAGGACTGTTAGTGACTGTTTCTGTTCAGTTTCAGAGAAGGTAGATGTTCCTGCCTCATGTTTCCTGATTTTTTAATGTTTTTCTATGATGTTTAAAAAGTTAAAGTTTTTTAATTGAAATTTTTGAAATCACCTGCACAGTATTTATGACTTTAAAGAGCACTTAATAACCCTTTGTACACCAATTTTGACTTTGTTCTGACTTTTTTTGCCCATAGGAACGCATTAATTCGATTTCAATGTATTCCTATGGGAAACCGCGTTTCGCAAGATGGATTTTTCGCAAGATGACGCTACTTGTGGAACAAATTATATTCATCTTGCAAGGCACCACTGTATAAGAGTCTCTGCAGGAGGAGGAGAAGGGAGTTTTAGAAAGAGTTGGGAGTGGAGAGAGAGGGTTGAGAGTGGATGAAGTAGGATGCTTTATTAAGAGTTAACAACATTGTACCTTCATCACCTGTAATAATAAACAACTTCTATTTGATTCTTTTTAAAATGACACCTTGCCTGGACCTCTATAATTAATAATAAACAATGTTAATGTAATGAACTGGTGGCAGCAACACGGCACAGAGCTTGTGCCCTTTGCTTGGTGAAACAACCAAGGGACAAGCGGGAATATGACACACACTTTAACAGCAGAACTTGGTTAGCTTGGGAAAGATGCCTGCTGCAGCCTCTGCTCACAAAATGTTTCATCATGTTAAGGGCATAGTTTTACAACATATAGGCAAAATATAGTCTTTGTATCCAGTGCAGCTTGGATTAGGTGCCAGAAACAATTTATACTAATTAAAAGCTTCCTATTCCTCTGTTTTCAGTTCCAAGACTTCCTTGGGATCCACTGAGCTGTGGAGAAACCTTTGGGAGCCTCAGGATGGGGTAGGGGGAGATTTTAAGTCAGAAATCACTGCTGGATTTCCACCTGTGGAATAGGAAGCCCTGCTGCCAATCCAGAAAAAAAATTAAGCTCTCCCCTGCCACCATTTCAAGGCTCCCAAAGGCTTCTCCAGGGCGAAAGGGAGCCCGAGAAAGCCTCAAAACCAAAAAAAAGAGAGAGGTAGGAATAGGAAACTAGTTTAATTAGTGTAAATTAAGCACTTCTGGTACCCAGTCTGCTGGGTGCAAATTTACACAATAGTATTTTGTCCATGAATATTGTGTTTGTCATTTTGTGGCTGTAATCTGAATTTATGTTTCAGATTATGCACTTTTTATAATATAGGATCAAGAGCTTGAAAACTTCATTACACTGAATGAACATTTAAGACATTGCTGAACTATAGAGTCTGCATATATCATATGAAGTCTATTCATTACCATAGATACTTACCTTTAACACCAGAAGTTCCTTTGATGCCAATTTGTCCTTCATCTCCCTTTTCACCTTTCACTTCTAGCAGCATGCCTGGCATGACTTTAGGAGGTTTTCCTGGTAAACCACGTTCTCCACGATCACCTATTAAGAACAAATGGCTAATTAAAATTGCAGTAGGACCATAGGAAGTTGGCTGATGCTGAGTTAGAATGTCGGTTCATCTAAGACAGTATTGTTGAGGCTGACTGGCAGAGGTTCTCCAGGGCTCTCAGCAGACTTGTTCCAAGCCAGTAAACCTATACTATACTTGGATGTTCAGAGGCATTTTACACTCTTTCCCTCCCCCCTTTCAGGATAGACTATAAGTATGCTGTTTAATGGGGCAAAATGTTGTGCTGGTACAGTCAAAATGTGTGATGGAAATATTTTATTAAATTTATAATTAATATTTAGTTAGTGGCAATACTTTTCTAAAAGGGGAATATATCCAGTACTAATTATGCCACTAGGAGATTTCAGCAACTTTATTTTTATGTTTTATTCTGATAGTAATACCATTTTATGTATTTATGCTTTATTTATATTTTGGTCACTGATCATGATAAAGTTTACATAAATCCATACATAATACATACATACATACATAAAGTCTACATAAATCCAAGTACTGTACAGGCTTCTTTTTCGAGGCTGTTTCTTATGACTAAACACATAAACGCATGCGATATGTAGACATGCTCAACACTATAAAAACAACAACATTTAAGAGAATGGGACAGCTGAAAGGCTAAAAGGCTCTCTGCCTCACCGCTCAGCAACATGAATGGCATTCCTCTTGTAATATTTTATTAAATGATTACATACTTTCCATTACAGTGGTGCCTCACTTAGCGATTGCCTCGTTTAACGATGTATTCGCTTAGCAATGAGGTTTCTGAAGCAATTTTGCGCTCTGTTTAACGATGTTCCCTATGGGGAAAATTCACATAGCGATGTTCGGGACCTTGCCTCGCTTAGCAATGTTCCATTTTCGCTATTTTTAAAGTGTCTTAAAAGGTTCAAATGCTTGGATTCGTTAGAGCACCTTCTAAAATGTGTGCAAACTTAATTTGGCTTTGTTCTGACTCTTCGTTAATATTTGGTGAATTTTTCCCCCCATTGAAATGCATTGAACCCAATTTTGACAGCTGTCAAAATTGGGTTCAATGCTTTTCAATGGGGGAGAAAAAAATTCACCAAAAGTTAATGAAGAGTCAGAAACTGTTTTAAATGCTTGGATTCGTTAGAGCACCTTCTAAAACATGTGCAAACGTAATTTGGCTTTGTTCCGACTCTGCGTTAATTTTTGGTGAATTTTTTCCCTCAAAAGCGTTGAACCCGATTTTGACAGCTGTCAAACTTAGGTTCAAAGCATTTCAATGGGGGAGAAAAAAATTCACCAAAATTAACGAAGAGTCAGAACAAAGCCAAATTAAGTTTGCACATGTTTTAGAAGGGGCACTAACTATCCCAAGCATTTAAAACCATTTTTGAACCTTTTAAGACACACTTAAAATTGCAAAAATGGACATCGCAAAACCATTGAAATGCATTGAATAGGCTTCAATGCATTCCAATGGGGGATACATTGTTTCGCTTAGTGATGTTTCCTATGGGGATTTTCGCTTAAGGACGGCAATCCATTCCCATTGGAACGGATTAACCGGTTTTCAATGCATCTCTATGGAAAAACGTGTTTCGCTTAGCGATGTTTTCCCATAGCGATTTTTTTTAACCAATTAACATCGTTAAGCGAGGCACCACTGTAAATGATTGTAAATACAATTTTATATAATTCGTTTTATTAAATGATTATGTGACCAGCAGTTCTGAAGATCATTACTGAAGTGTAATTGTCAGGGGACTGAACAGAGAGTGAAGAGATCCTTCACTCCTGCCACCACCCACCCATGAAGTTTTCTAGGAGACTTCGAGTCAGTAATTTTCTATCTCACATACACACGTGGTTAGAACCATTTGGCTCGTTTTCTAAGGAAGTGGATTTTGAGCCACAAAAACTCACACTGAAATAAAATTGCTAATCTGTGGATGAAATACTGTTTCTTTATGTAGTACGTCACACTGGAGTAGGCCCACTTAATCAGTGGGGATGTAGTGGGTCAACTGCCTTACTAATTTAATTGAGTCAGATGATGCTGGTATTTATTAACACATTTATATCTATCATACTTTTCCTCTGATGATCTCTTCATAGTTGTATCTGAACAGTTCTCATGCATACCCAGGTGTTCCAGAGACACCTGGCAACAGTAAGTAAAATACCTTTCCATCCTGGATCACCAGGCTGACCCTGAGGACCTGGTCTTCCAGGGAAGCCACTTTCTCCTTGGACTCCTTTCTGTCCTGGCCATCCTTTGAAGCCCATAGGACCTTTGAAGCCAGGAACACCAGGAAAGCCTTTAGAACCTTTTGATAAGAAATGAAAAAAAGAATTCTTATAGCCATCAAAGAAGAATATTTCTACTAAGGGCACATCTACACTGAACCTTTTGATGTGGGCTGGTGAAGTCTAGATATACTGTAGTTGCTTGAGGTTGGGGGAAGGAGTGATATTCCATTTGGCACAATCCTTGTGTCCAAAGGGCATATGAATCGCAAGTGACCATCTGGCTAATTGATTTTTTGCTGTCACTCAAACAGTGAATGAAATTATTTTTTGCCTTTTGCAGTCCATCACTGATGCACTGAATCACTGGGATTAAAATTTAAAAACCATTTTTCTTTGTGAGTAGTGCCAGCTGACAAACTGTCCGCAATCATCATTTTGACCAGAACGTCAAAGAAAACAAGTGCAAAAAATAAATAATAATTTCACTTTCCTTGTCCCTTCACTGAGGAGCAGGGGAAGTTTTCAATATATTGATATCCTGAAGTGGCTCATTTATTAAGCCAATTCATGACACCAGAAACTCAAACGGAAAGGAGCCTTGACAGCATTGATAGCTGCAAGGCTTGATTTTAGGCTGTGAGGTGGGACTAAACTAGGGTGCACCAACCGACACAAAAAAGGACACTCAAAAAGTTGCAGACTGGGGTGCCGGGGGGGGGGAACTGGTCCACTCATGTAGTTGTCAGAAAAAAGAGTGAAGCAATCTATCATCTCAATGCTCCAAACAGCACAACAAATGCCCATGTGAATGATGCCTTAGATGTTTAGGCTAAGGCTAATAAGGTAATTGCGGATGAAGCAGAAAAATAAGGAGAGTCAAAAGAGTACCAGCAAAAGGATAAAAAGCAAGACTAATTGTAATTGTAAAAAGTAGTACTGTATCACATTCTTGGGCAAAATGCTGGAGTAGGTTGTGGCTTCTCAGCTCCACAGGTTCTTAGATCAAAGGTCTCAAACATGCGGCCCAGGGGCCATTTGCGGCCCGCTGGATGATAGTTTGTGGCCCCCCGCCTTGCCTGCCCCCTGAAGCGCCTACACATCCTCTGCTGTCGAGAGTCAAAAAAAGCCTCACCTCGCTCGCTGGATCTCTCCCAAGACAGCACCTCTTTTGCCCTCCATCTGGAACTGCAGCCTGCCAGCCTGGCCGCCTGTCTGCCGGCTAGCAGGCTGCAGTTCCGGATGGAGGGTTCAAGAGGCGCTATCTTAGGGGAGAGCTGGTGAGTGAGGCACACTGCTGGCCCTTTTCCCTGAGTGCCACCGAGTGAAGCCTGAGAGCAGAGCTCGCTCCCAGCCCATCCTCAAAGAGTGCCTTCAAGCCGCCAACAGCAGCTGCTGCCACTGCCACCTCTTCCAGGGAAGCGGTTCTCTGAGTCTCTCAGCACCCCCAGCACAAGCCTGGCCCGTGGCCACCTCAGTGCCCAATGGTGCTTCCTCCTCCTGTTCTTCCTCTTCGTCCTGCTTCAGCCACCTCGGCTCTGGAGGCTGCCTGGGCTTGCCTCGCAAAGTTTACTCCCCTGTCGTGGTGGGGGTAGCTGCTGCTGCTGAGTGCACCTTTTCTTGAGGGGGGCCCTCAGAGGAAGGTTGCTGGATCTCCGTGTGTGTGTGTGTGTTTGTGTGTGCGCGTGCACCTGTGTGTGTGTGTGGGGGTGCCCTGTTCTGTTTAATTTTGCAGGTACCGATGGGGGCTTTTCTCCTTTGGCAAGGCCTGCGCTTCCCTCCACTAGGGGGTTGATGGGGCTCCCTCCCTTCTCCATTTCTTTGTCCTGCTGCTGGTGGTGGTGGTGAAGAAGGAGCCAGAGGGGGTCGTGGCCAGCGCCCCTCCTCCTCCTCCTCCTCCTGGGAGCCCCAGCTGGGCTAAGAAAACTCCTGGGCAATTTCCTCGGGCTCTTGCTCTGCTTAGTGGAAAATCTGATGGGGTCCAGCCTCACCCAGACTCTGCCTCCAGCGGCCCCCAGGTAAATTGAGTTTGAGATCCCTGATCTAGATCTACTTCAATCAGGCTTCAGGCCTAATTCCAGCAGGGAGTCTGCTTTGGTCATCTTGGTGGATGACCTACACCAAGAACTGGAGAGGGGAAGTGTGTCCCTCCTGGTGATCTTTTCAGCAACTTTCAATACTATTGATCATGGTTTCCTTCTGAGCCATCTTGTTGGGATGAGACTTGGAGGCACTGTTTTATGGTGGCTCCGGTCCTTTTTGGAGGAGACAGCTCAGAAGGCTGATTCCTGTTTGACATCTTGGCTGCTGGCCTGTAGGGTCCTTGAAGGTTCTGTCTCCTTTGTTATTTAACATCTACATGAAACCACTGGGAGAGGTTGTCCAGAGTTTTGGGGTTCACCAGAATGCAGATGATACCCGACTCTACCTCTCCTTGCCATCTAAATCCAAGGAAGCTGTTTTGGCTCTAGATCAAGGTCTAGTATCAGTAATAGACTGGATGAGTGTGAATAAACTGAAACTTAATGCAGGCAAGACAGAGGTCCTCCTAATCAGTCAGAAGGCAGACCAAGGAATTAGAATTCAGCTTGTGCTGGACAGGGTTACATTCCCTCTGAAAATATAGGTGCGCAGCTTGGGAGTGCTCCTGGATTTGTCTCTGACCCTGGTGGCCCAGGTTTTGGCAGCAGCTAGGACTGCATTTGCACAATTAAAACTCTGCCCGCTGTGCCTGTTTCTGGAGAGGTCTGATCTGGCCATGGTGACACACTGCTTAGTTACATCCTGGCTGGATTACTGTAATGTATTTTACATGTGCCTGTCTTTGAAATGTGCTTGGGAACTTCAGTGGATCCAAAATGCTAGAGTCCTATTACTAACAGGGATCACATAACCTCCCTGCTACAGCAGCTCCACTGGCTGCCAACCAGTTACCAGGCACAATTAAAAGTGCTGGTTTTAATTTATAAAGTCCTAAATGATTTGGGCCCAAGCTAACTGTGGGTGTTAAAATAATCTGGTGGATGAATTATTGTAAAGCCTTCCATTCTGTGCTTCCCCCAAATGCTTGAGAACACACTCCAAAACTCTTAAGAGGCATAGTGGCCAGAATCCTATTGATTTTTGCATAAGGTTTGTGTCTGACTGTGTAACCAAAATGCACCTCAGCACCTTGTCAATTGGCTGCAATTAGCTGTGGCACATTATGCAAACCGTACACAAACAACAACAGGATTCCTGGCAGATTCATATCAACTTTTATTTATACTATGTGCCATAGTGTCATGAAAGCAGCTGAAGACCTGGAACCAGAAGGGTTAACTGAGGCTGAGGAGAATGTGGAGCAATCAGAAACACCTGAATTGCCTCCAGATTCTCCTTCCTCAGCAGACAAGCTTCGGGCCAGGCTTCGGGGAAGACTTATGGCAAAAAGGTCAGAGGATCGCTCGAAGGCTGTCCACAAAAACATCCGTTCAACTAGCCCTGAGTATTGACAGGATGGAAAGGTTTCCAGCAGCTCAAGGGGCTGTTTTACTATAAAAACAGCTCCTAGTCAGCTAGAATTTCTGTGGAAGCAACAAGTCAAAACCTCTGGCTTATATCCACACTCCTACAACCTTGAACTGTGTTCTTGACTCTGGACTCTGACCCTGGACTACATTGTGTATTTGACTCTGGACTCTGACCTTGGACTACGTTGTGTGTTTGGCTCTGGACTCTGACCTTGGACTACATTCTGTGAGTTGGTTTGGCAAATGAATATTGGCTTTGCATTCTTGGTATTCCTGACCTTGGACTGGTTTATCAGTCACAGAATTGGAAAGTACTCTAGAGGCCATCTAGTCCAACCCAATGCTGATGCTGATCAAATACTTCTTGGCTCAGAATTATTTTTCTTGTTATTGTTCTTACCTTTCAAACCTGGGAGACCAGGCATTCCATCTATTCCAGGGAAACCAGGCTCACCAGGTTTGCCTTTAGGTCCGAGGAAACCTGGTTCACCACTGTCACCAGGAAGACCTTTCATGCCCACAGGACCAGGCTTCCCTGGTTCTCCTACATCCCCTCTTGCACCTGGTGAACCTACAAAGAACCACATGGGAAAGAAACAGAAGACACATTGGCATACAGTGAAGATACTAGGGGATGCTGCCACCATAAAGTCTACATGAACATGAAAAATAAATACTGAATTAAGAGTGAATAAATAACCTCCAATCGTGGGACACATGGGTTACAGGTATTTATTATTTATTTATTTATTATTTATTTATTTAATTTATATGCCGCCCACACTACCCAAAGGTCTTGGAGACATTTGTTACTTGAAGCATGGTTCCTTTGCTGCTCTTAACATCCAGATGATTTTCTCTAACAGTAAGCCAAAACTCCAAACAAATGAGAACTCTTAATTTACTTGTGCATATCTACATGCCCACCCATCAACTGCAGAGTCATTTTCTGTATAACAGTTTGAACCAGATAAAGCAAAATATTCATGGGTTTTTATAGGTTAGGATTTTGCAAAATGTTGACAGTACTAAAAAGAAAAAAGAAATTATGTAAGAATGCTTGAAGTGATGGGTGTAAATAACAGCTTAATGTCTGGTATCTCAGGGTTTCTCCTCTTTGGCCTGTTTGGGAATATGTTGTTTCACTCCATTTTCTGGTGACCACATGATGTATGGCCAATCACAAGACAGCCCAAAGCTTATCCTCACCAGCCCACAAAGTTTTGGGTTCCTATGAGGCGCTACTGTTTCTTCAGTGTGGGTAGCATCACTCCATTTTGGTATGGTTCTGGCATGTGTGATTGCTGGTATCAAACCAAAGTGGATCCTTTACCTCCTTCATTTAAGCCATTGCAGGATCAAATTACTTAATAAATTGAAAGTTTCCACCTGCTCCTGTCTGTGGAGGAGGAGATAGAAGAGGACACAGAGTTTTTTGTTTTGTTTTAAATCCCTTATAGTCCAGGGCTGAACTGATTGATTAGCAAGCCAATCAGCACTGTGCCATTTAACAATAAATTAAAGAAAAATTGCAGCTTTCCCCCTCTTTTGTGAAAGAGGGGGAGACAGGAGAGAACATGGAGAGGATTTTTCTCTCTCTTTCCTTCTAAAGGAAGAAAGGGCTAAAAAGGGTCACTTGAAGTGGAAGCACAATGCAATCGGTATGATCCCGTTATGGCAACGCCCCCTCTCTATGCTTCCCAATGGACTGGTGCAAGAAACAGTCGAGAGCTATGCCAATCTGTGTGCAACTCAACTAATCCTAGCTCCAATCAGCTGGACATGAAAAAAATGTTAGGATGGTTATTCCACGTTGAAGACCAGCTGAGGAAGGCACTTCCCTCAGCTATTTTAAATGAGACACCCTCCAGATTCCACCACAGGCTGCCCCTGCTAGGAAGGGAAATCTAAACATCTACAACACAGTGTGCTGCAATGTGGTACCAAGACAGAAGTTTTAATATATTGGAGTGTGGTGTGTGAGAAAGAGGAATACGCCCAGAGACTATGAGTGTGGGCAAGGCCATGGATAGATGTGTAAGAGTGAAGGGGGAAGTCTCCTTGTGCGTGTAGAATTGAGAGGGGAGGAAAGGGGGAGATTATATCCTATCCACTGCCAACATATGGCTCTTGCCCATCATCAGCATGTAATTCCCAACCCCAAAGCAATAAAGTGGCTAAACTTTGTTTTAACCATCATGATGTTTTACTGTAGAGCAAGGTACACCAGAAAAAGAATTAATAATGTCTGCTATGAAAATGAAAGACTTCCTCACCAGCAAATCCTGATGGACCCATCCTTCCTATGGCCCCCTGCTGGCCTGGCAGCCCAGGGAATCCGAATGCTCCTGGTGGTCCTGGCATACCAGTCACACCAGTGGGCCCTGGTGTTCCACGAGGTCCTTTGGCTCCAGGTGCACCTGGACTGCCATCACTTCCTAACAATGTATGCAAGAACAACAAGTATCTTGGATCAACAAGTCTGATTAAACATAAGCTTTGATGGACTGCAATCAATTTAATCAGGTATGGAGTATAGCCTAAGAAAACAGACAGAAGGGAGAATGGAGGATACAAGAAAGGCCCTGACATAGTAAAACTCTTAACCAGGTCTTAACAAGGTCATTGAGAGGCGACAAATACGAATGAGATCAATAGCACTAACCAGCTGTGGGATGTTACAGTCTACAAACATCGGAAGTTCATTAGTTTGCATATTTAATCTGAATAAGTACAAACTAAGTCATTAACATTAATGACTATCTAGTGTTTATAAATACAGATCAACTCTGGATTAAACAAGGAGAATTTGTGATGAATGTGCCTTGAGTACCCTCCTGCACTGAAATACTTATGACAAAACTAAACTAAAGGGTACTGGAACAAATCTACATATTGTTAATTCTGAAACTCTGAAAGAAGGAGGCAGCTTGCTTTTGAGATGATCAGGTGGTATAAAATTTAAACAAACAAACATTTTAGGATTGAATGCAAGGCTGGAAGTTAAAAGGTATATTGCTTATTTTAAGCATGGTAACAGAACAGTTGGCTGCAACTCTAGGAACGTAGTTAGTACACATGTACAGAGATCCGTTTTTTGTTGTTGTTTTGAAACATGTAGATTTTAAGCCAGAACTCTTTCTATTAGGTATAATACCAGAAAGTGTTGATAAACAAAATGTATATTTAATACTGCATATTTTAACAGCCACAAGGATTATATACACACAACACTGGAAAAATGAAAAAACACCCATAGATCAAGAAATAATTAAAAAGATATTGGATGGCATCGAAATGGATAGACTGACACTGAAAATCAAAGGAAAGGAAGATACAGAATATAATCAAACATGGAACTTGTTTTATCAATGGTTAGAATCACAATGTATAGACTAAGATCTTAATATATATTGTAGTTATATTAACAAATGATTATAAGCTGAACCCAGGTGACATGATGTTAAATAAGCATAGATGGATTTCATAAATCATAATTATAATAAAAAGAAAATTTAAAAAAAGAGATCCCAGTTTTTTTCTAACAGCTGTACCTTTCGGTAAGGCAAAAGCTAGATCTGAAACCGCCTAATGTTTCAAAAATAAGATGCACAGTGATACAGAGGACTGCTCTTTATAATTACATTTCAGAACTATTTGCACAACACAGAACTCACTACATCTAGCTAGAGAAGCTCTGGTCTACAACAAAATTCAGCCTGCCATTGAACTTCTAGTGATCTCTGTATAATATGTTATTCCTAGACACAGGGCAGGCCTTGTCAGCACTGTAGATCTGTTCAAATAAAGCAATAATGTATGCCTTGCTGCACATTGTCTCAGTTAAAAACAAGAGTTACTGTACCTCTAAAACCTGGTAAGCCTTGATCTCCTTTGGGACCCTTAGGTCCTGGGAATCCAGGTGGTCCATAATCCCCTCGGGGGCCTGCTGATGCTCCAAGGATATCACCCGTAATTCCTTTTGTTCCTTGAGGTCCTGGCAAACCTGGAAGACCTGGACTGCCTGGGAATCCCTGTTCCCCAGGCAACCCTGGCACACCTCTATTCCCTCTGGGTCCAGTAAATCCTAAATGAAATAAAATCACCAAGACAGGATCAAGATAATCAGAGACATGCAAATTAACCACAATGTCCAAGTGATTTCAAAGGACAAATACTTAAATATATCACATTTGAAATCAATGGAACTTAAAGGTTCACACAGAAAATGGAATACAATTTGGATGAAATGTTAAAAAGAATGTAAATTCTATATATAAGAACTTTGATAGCACGCTATCACTGAGATTTTCCAGAAGCAGTGGAGTATTTTTTTATTAGTCTCTCAGAGGCCTAACGCTGCCCTCCTGTGTTTCCTGTGTTACTTGTTTGTTTGAATTCTATTTATTTCATTTCTATTTCATCTTTCTCCTCTAGCGCCAAGGCAGCTTACAAAAAATGTTTAAAATAATAATTAAAACCATACTAATTAAAATTTGAAACTATAATATGCAAATATTTTAGATGTTATCTAAAAATGTTAAAACAGATTTTAAAATACCTTTTCATACCAACTAGTTGCTGATTCCACTGCATCAAAAGGTTTTCAGAATTACGTGCTGTCAAGTCACTTTTGACTGGGTTTTTTAGGTATATGAGATGTTCAAGTAGTGGTTTGCTATTACCAGTCCCCTCAAGAGTTTGCAGGGCCAAGCAAGGATATGAACTGAGCTTTCTTGAATTCCAGGGCTTGATTACATATGACAAAAAAACCCCTGAGTTATACCAATTATTTTTATACCTCTGTTGTACCGATATTTTTTTCTAATGGCCATATGGTATATATATCAGCAGAAGCGTTCACATTGTTTTTAACTGCATCAATTTATTCCTTTCTATTTGAACCATTATAGCAGGCTACACCGCTCTTTAATTTTGAATCCATTCATTTTCTCTATGGATTCTTGGGGCAATCAAGTCCCCCTTTGCCCCCTTTTGTAAAATAACAAAAGTGATATATCAGTAGGGTAACAGAGTGGCATCAGTCTTCTCTCCTCCTCCCCTTTTCCCTTCCCTCCTTTACTCACTTGTTCCCCCTTGCCTGATTCCCCTACATATCTCTCGCACTTCAGTGCTTAGCTTTCATTTTTCTTTTTCCCTTTCTTTACAGTGTCGGTAGGAGGAAGCAGATTTTAGAAGACTTGGAAAGTATTGTGAAGAGCAAGGTTTTTAAAAAAGATAACCCTCTTTCACCCACAAGGTGAGGGAGACTGTCTCCTTTAAGCTATCTCCTTCTGAGCAATGTACTCATATTGTTTTCGCTTTAAAAGTTTTTTTTAAACGTACAAGTGCAGTGGCCATACAGTGGCCAAAGTGCCCCAAAACCCAACTGCTTCATAAAGGAAATAAATTAACAGCAACATTTACAAATGGTGGAATGATAAGGAATGAAGTGACACATCATCGGTACAATTTAAAACAACCCTCCTGGCAAGCGGGAAATAAACCAATTCTTGCGGCAAACAAATTGATGTTGGCCATGCATCGTGTGACCAGAATATTATGAAACAATTTTTAAAACAGGGTAATCAATATAATGGGGGTTCTTTTGGCAGGTGTAAATGAGCCCCTAGTTTGGCACTCTGTCCACTACACCACATGGATCTCAAGAGTTTCCTATCCATATGCATTTTATCCTTTGGAGGTTGTGGGTAGTTGGAAAATCGAGCTAATCGTGCTTATAATGCTAAACATACACCAAGTTAGCTGGAGAGGGTAGATCTTTGTAGAGTCAAAAACACTCTTCAATGAAATATGTGTACATTCCCTCACTCTTGATGTTAACCTAATGGAGATACAAACAAGAATAGGGCATCGTTGAAGAAGTCGGTATTTCTTTAATGAGGTCCCAATGTGAAAAACAGAGGAATAACAGGCTAGCAACCAATTGTTTGGTGATTAGGGTGATAGGGATTAATTCCAGACAACCAAGGAGGCTGACAGCACCAGCTATTATTGTTGCTGTTCAATATTGTTTCAAGTTATATAAGGCCCTTAATGCTAGATCACTCTCTGGGCAGTTTACAACATAATTATGCTAGGAACACTTCACCCCCAGAGCCAGCTGGGTACTCACTTTACCAATCTTGGAAGGATGAAAGGCTGAGTCAACTTTGAGCCAGCTACATGAACCCATTAAGACTGAATTCAGGTTGTGAGTGGAGGCTTGACTGCAGTGCTGGAGTTTAACCACTGTGCCACAATGCTTGCTAGGTATCATCCAGCTATATGATTGTATGGAAGATCCCTGTATGCGTGATTGCTCAGGTGGTTTCTTCTTTCAAGGAACTTTGCATCAGGACCACAGATAATTTTTATATAGTGAAATTACAACTCAAGTTGTCTTCAGCAATACAACCAATCAGCTTGCTCCAGATTTTAAATTTTGCATAATTTCAAATGTCATTTTGTGTACCACCAGCTGAATTTTTAGTTAGAAGTCTAAAGGTAAATACCATATAGAAATAAGCATAAATAAACTGAATATTTTAACTGCCTGTGCTTGAAATTGCATGTTGGGTTTTTCCAGTACCTGGTGGGCCAGCTAAACCTTCATGTCCTTGATCTCCTTGAGGGCCAAGCTGTCCTTTCAATCCATGTAGACCAGGATCACCTGGAATTCCTTTCGTACCTTTTGGACCTTTTTGAAAAAGTCAGACCAAGTAAGAAGCAAATAAAGAAAAATAAGTAGATATAAAAGGAACTGTCTACTGATCTATCTACTGAGCTGCTCAAAGAGACTCATGGAGCTCATGGTCTCCAACATCTCCCTGATGATCTATATGTTAGATGCTAGTAAAATGTGAACCTATTTGCTAAATTTCATTTCTAGCTGCACCTATGTTGTGTAACATGGTGCCATCCAAATCTACTAGCTTAATAAACCCCAGCTAGGATGATCAATTGTTACAGATGATGGAGAGTGCTATTGCAAACATCTGGAGAGTACCAGGTTGCATATTCAGGTAGTCAGAGATTTCCAGGTAAATGAAAGCTGGTGGAATTCCAATCCATTGCTAGAAGAAGGACATATAATCTTCATTGAGTAGGGCACTGGGAGAAAGTTGGTTCCTGAGACAATTATACTATAGCAAGAGACAGGCAGCATTTCTATGATCGGACACGGCAGATAATGGAAATTCATGATCACTGATAGCATACTTTATTTACTTGAATTAAATACTAATATTCATGTTTCTATTGATACAGTATTAATTTACACAGTTCCTGAAAGATAATCCTAAAGGAACTCATATGAGGGACTACTCAAGATCCAGAACTGTGTTCATATATGGTGTATATGGTAATCTTACCTTCTAATTCAAACCCCTTGGTTCCAAATGATTCTCATATTTTTGATAGCATGTGAGTGGATGAAATCTTATATATTAACTGTAATTTCACACTATATTGAAATAATTAATGACAGACATGGCTGTAAATTAATCCTAGAATTTTAAATTGCAGCAAAACTGTGTGATGATCTGAAAGAGAGTGGGGTTTGTAATCAGAGAAAATGGAGACTGTTAGGTTCAATGTGAAATGATTTTAAGGCATTGGAATGTGTCAGGCTGTGAGACTTTTTTTTTCAGTTTGCCTGCTACAGAAGGAACTGTGATAAGGAGGCAAGAATGAAGAAGGGCCCATGTGAAGACTCAACACATACCATCTTAATTGGGAGCAAGATAAAGCACCTGGACATCATGAGAATTATGGGTGGAGAGTTGTGTTACGCCTCTTTGAAGTTAATTGGTCTACATATATTGAGTGTAAAAAGTGGGAGGACTGAGAGGTGTAAGAAAAGATGGATGGAGGGATGTGTTTTAGAGCTTCCTCTAGCTTCTCAAGCTTTTTGGAGTTTTTCGCATAGATTGTGCTATGTGAAGGAATGCTTACAGAATGTAGCATGGTAAGGAGAAGGAGGAGGTGGGAATAGTCTACCTTAGCTTAGATTTTAGTATTTCTTATTTTAACAAGAAATAGCAGCTTTATTTAACTACTGAAATATTTGGACATGTTCATGCTAATGCTTTGCAAACAAACTGTTTCTATGAATCTATATTTTCTTAATAAAAAAATAATTATAAAACTCGTCGATGACTAATCTCCTGAACAGCAGGTTTACACTTAAATCCAGTGGAATGGAATTGATCACTACTTGCTACCATTGAGAAGTCCTACCTTACTGAGCTGTTGTGTGTTCTGAGGAAACACACAGCCCATGCTTAAGTACTGTAAGAGTACACAAACGTTTTCTTTTAAGGTCAGGCTTGTCCATGAAACAGATTCTATGCACTTCTGAGGTTTAAGGGACTTGCCTCAGGGGGAAGGTGGTAGCTTTGTGTCCACAGTGACTCCCTGTCCAAACCTCATATTCTCCTTATTTATTTATTTATTTATTTATTTATTTATTTTATTTTATTTTATTTTATTTTATTTTATTTTATTTAGGGATAGCTGAGTGTTACAAACTGTACCAGCACAAGCCCAGAAATCTCCTTCTATTCCAGTGGTTCCCAAACTTGTGGCCCCAGATGTTCTTGGGCTAGAATTCCCAGAAATCTTTACCAGCACAGCTAATGGTGAAGGCTTCTGGAGGCTTTAGTCCATGAACATCTGGGGACTGAAGGTTGGGATTCACTGATCCATGCCATATATCAAAGAAAAGATACTACAACTACAGGATCTTGAAATAGTGCAGATAAAGATATGAATGGATATAATCAATTATAGGAAAAAGCAAATCAGATTTAACTTAGCATAGTAAACTGCATTAGAATGAATCAACAGGGATTTAGTGAGTCAATTCCTCCATAAATCTCATGGATTCAAATTGACCTACTCTAGTTGTGACTCACTATGCCAAAGGAAGTTGCAGTTAGAATAGGCCCATTAGAATCCATGAAACTTATAGAGGAGCTGACTCACCAAATCTCCATTGTTTAAGTGCGCCTACTCTAGAGCACCTTACAATGTTTACCAACAGGATTTTGCTCAGTGAGTAATTTCATAAACAAATTTCATACATATCCCTTTAAAAGATATATCGTTTTGAAAGACTTGATTTTTGTATTTTTGCTATGTAAAACATTGTACTGTTTAATATGATGATGCAACTACTGTAGATATTTACCTCTTGGTCCTGGCAGACCTGGGTTTCCTGGTACTCCTTTTGGGGACATAACACAGCCAGTCCCTGAAGATAAAAAAATAAGGGTTGAAACAAAAAGGAAGTTATCTGTCTTCTCCAAGATTAATCATAATATTATAGCATAACATTTCTCTCTCTCTCTCTCTCTCTCACACACACACACACACACACACACACACACACACACACACACACACACACACACCTCTGATACCGTAAGCTCAGGCTCAGAAATTTTATATTATAATATATATGTATGTTTGTGAACCTTTTTGCTCAGCAACAATACTGTCTGAAAGTAATAATCATAAATGACTTGTGACTGTATTGGTCAAGAAGAATCTAGTCTTGTCCCAAAATTATGGGGCTGGTCCTCCTGTTCAATTCATCAGCCAACTCTGCTCAATCCAGTTTGCACCCAGTGCACAGAAAGATGGAAAACAATGTTGGTGCTCCAGAATCCAGCATATGGGGTAATATATTCAGGAATGCAAGAGTAGACAATACCTTTATCAGACCACTAAAAATGTACAAGCTGCAAGCTACCCTTGCATTTGTGTAATACTAAGAGTCACAAAGCTTTTTCTTAATTTCTCCTAATATATTCAGAGAAAGAAGTGATAATGGACTGGAGTTATCTATTGAAAATCTATGATCTTATCCTTAAAGTGTGTCCCATACATAAGAAGGAAGAATTTATATAATGTTTTTCACTGGAATTTTCAACAGTTGTGCAATGATACTTTCATTATACTGAACACTAGTTTATCGAATTAAAATCTCTTCAGTTTGCAATAGGTGTTTTAGAATGCTATTTCTGTCACCAAGGACATTTAGTAAAAACAGCTTTTAGAAAAATGTCTATATACCCCCAACACTGTCAAACAGTACTATTTAATTTATTTTACCTGAATGAATTGTTTCAGTTCTGTTGTCTCTAATAAAAATGTCCATTTGTTGTCCACAATCTACAGTTTAAAAAAAAGAGAGAGAGAAAAGAACAAGAAAATGTAAGATTTGCCAAACAATAGCCAAACATTGTGGCCAGAATCCTCTTCACTTCCTCTGTTCACTGCTGGGGGTTTTCTGAGTTTGTGCAAGGGGGTAAAAAAAAATCTCCATGTCAGGGGAATGCTCTGGGCATCCCTAGTAGGCTGTCAGCCCTTATCCTATGCCCTCTGTTGGGCCTGACAGAAACTCCAGCAACAGGTTGCCAGGAGGATGCAAAGAGACATATGGAGGACAGAGATGGGGAGAAAAGCCTGAGGCAGATGAGTCACGTCTGGACAAAGGTGTAGAGGCTGGGCCCAGTTGGGCCCAATTTAAAATAGGAGGAAGAAGAGGACGAGGGGGGATATTCAATGACCTCTATGAGGCAGAAGAGTGGGAAGAAGCAACAGAGGAACTGAACCCCATGTTTAATGCCCTGTGTGAAGATTGTGATGTTTACCCATGTGGCCCCTGCTTGTTTCACCAAACCAAGGGCTAACACTACATATCCCACCGCTGTCACCAATTGTGATGTTTACCCATGTGGCCCCTGCTTATAACTCCCTCACAAAGGCGTACGTCACATTCTCTTCTCACTGCCACCAGTGGATTACTTCAATCCACAATAGAAATGACGTATGTCAGAACACTTGTCTTGTGAAGAGAAACAGAACTTATTTATTGAAGCAGAATGAGTAATAACATACGTTTTTCAGATCTTCAGTATACATAAGCAGTTCATCAACAGTTCTCTCAGTACATAGTTCTTTTCACTTGCAATTTCATTACCACCCTCACTATCTATATCTGTAATCAGCTCTATCTCTCTAACCCTCTCTGACTAATCAGCCCTATCTCACTCCTCCTCCTCCACCCAAGCCTCATGTAGCTGCTGGCTCCACCTCTCCAGCCCTCTCATAGGTTCCTGCAAATCAGCCCATGAATGTGAATGACATGAGTGATGTGGGCGGTCGCCACAATAATATACTGATTAAGCAGAACCCCTGGGCTGGTGTATGGATCACATTCTCTTCTCTTCCAAGTTGAGGTCACCAAGGAATGGGAAAGGTATTGCCATCTTCAGCCCACCAACAACACTCCCTTCACTAATCCCTTGGAGGTCCCAGAAACCAACTAGGGACCCACCCCCCACCCAATCCAATTAAGGTGCTGGAGTAGGAAGCACCAAAAGGAGAGCCTACAGTGAAGGCAGGAAGGACTTGGGGACCTGGGAATTTGTGAGTCTATGGCAGTAGAAGCCCTCTCTAAAGGTTGGCAGCTGGCTGGAGTCAGTGCTGAGAACCAAATCCTAGCTGTGGACTGTATGAGCCCAGTGAAAGAAACTTGGGCTCAGGCAAGGACTGCACTTGATGAGGGAATAGAAAAATTAATTCAGCCCCCCCCATGTACTGTTTGGATAGGCACCCAACCTGTCCTTGCACCCTGTCCCCCTACAGGACTTAATAAAGTCCAGTTCTAGCAGATCTGATCTTGGCTTCATAGAACCTATAGTTGAGGAGGACTTCCCTGCTTTCCCCACTCTAGGAGTGGGCAGCAGTTGTTACACTTCACCATCTTTTTTAGTCCAGGGATGTGTGAATGTGAACTTCAAGGTGTTGTTGAGCTTCAACTCTCAACAGCCCTAACACTATAAAGTGTTACAGTCTCCAAACATCTGAAGTTCATAGGAACTGCAGTCAAAAACATCCAGAGTACCATACTCCTGTGCTATCCTCAGAATTATAACTGCTCAACAACTCCAGTGCTGCTGTTCCTAATGATGACAACTATGACGACAAACAACGGCAACAACAATTATGACGATGATCAACTATTGGTCTGCCATGGAGTCACCTGGGCAAACAGTGTCTTATGGCTAGAGGAGAGTCCAGTCACCTACAGGTCTCCTGAAAAGGCACCCACAACCCCAGGAAGCAATTCTCTATAGGCCCTCATAAATTTGACTTGACTCCTAGAGGATGTTATCAAAACACATGAAGGAAAGAAGCATTTAAATAGTATACAGACACTCCTGAGTTTTGAAGATGTACATCATCCATTGTTCTTGCAAACTGAGACAGAGCTGATAACTTCTCAGCTTTAGAGCCTATTCTGTTTATAAGGGTGCTCAGTTGCCCATTGATTCAAATTTGTTTAACATATCCACAAGACATATCCTTTTTTTTTTTTTTTTGATTCCTTACTCTAGGCAGAATACAGCAGACAAAGCTAAAGACAGACACAGGGAGCTCATGACTGGAGCTCCTGAACAGGAGAGCAAACAGGGAGTTTGCCATGGGAGAGATAGGAAAGAGACCAAGGAGACAGACTGAGAGATAAGTGGATGTTCTCTGTAGTAACACCAAGGAAGGGCCTGAAGTAACTCCTAGGAATTGCGTAGACAGAAGCACCACATGCTCTACTTAAAGAGCCATGTGCTCAGTCGAACAGGAAGGGGTGTGTCCATAACAAGAAGAGCTGTGAGCTCAGCAGCATGATGAGCAGAACAGGGAGGGGTGTGTCCTTAACAGGAAGAGCCATGTGATTGGCCTAACAAAAAAGGGGAATGTCCTGATTACTGCTGAGGACTATAAGTAGCAGCTGTAAGTTCTGGGAGGGCTTTTTGATTCCTGACTCTGGGCAGAGCACAGCTGACAAATAAAGCTAAAGGCAGACCCAGGGAGCTCGCAACCAGGACAGCAAACAGGGAGTTTGCCATGGGAGAGATAGGAAGGAGACCAAGGGAGAGGCCCCTAAGAATTATTTTTGGTTCCTTTGGATATAGGTACAACTACATTTAAACTAACAAAACAAGAGGGACAGGTATCCTACACAAACAGTTGAAAGTAAAAAAGCTAGAAGGGATTATGGAGGGTGGAGAGAATTCAGTTGTAGTTACCTGCAAAGTTTGTGCTATGTCTGTCTTTGTTCCTGATTGCAAAATGCTGTATACATGGAAGTGTGTAAACTTGTGGCACTGTTGGAAGAGAAAGTCAGAGACCTGGAGTGGCGAGTAGCCACACTCAAGGCTATAAGGGAAGATTAAGCCTACATTGATAGAACTCTTCAACAGCAAAAGCTGTCAAAGGGGGCACTGCTGATGGTGCTCGGAAGAGGAAGAGAAAGAGAAAGGAAGATACTCTGAGTTAATGACTGGCTATGAAAGTTGTGTCGATGACGGATTTGGTTTTTGGGATCACAGGCTAAGCTTCCTGGAAGAAGGACTGCTACCAAGAGACGGCTTGGATCAAACAAGGACTGGGAAGAATGTGTTTGGCCACAGCATGAAGAACTTCATCAGGGAGGCTTTAAACTGAATTGGAAGAGGGAGGGAGATGCAAGCACAGAGTTAAGGGTAGATGAAGCCTTGCACCCAATAAGAGGAATGGACCAAACGGATCAGAAGTTGCAACAATAATAACATTAACAATAATAATCCCTATCTTCAGAAAGGGCAAAAGGGAGGAACCTGGGAACTAAAGACCAGTCAGCCTGATATGAATTCCAGAGAAAATTCTGGAACACATCATAAAGTGGCCACTATGCAAACACCTAGAAGCAAAGTACTAATAAGTAGAAGCCAACACAGATTTCTTAATAACAAATTCTGCCAGACTAATCTGATCTCATTTTGTGCAGGAACCCTCCCTGATAGACAGAGGGAATGTCATCATATATCTTGACCTTAGCAAAGCTTTTAACAAAGTGCTCCATGATATTCTGATTAGTAAGCTAACTAGGTTACATGATGGGGGACACCTGGCTCAGCAATACTATGAGCGAGAAGGATCTTGAAATCGTTGTAGATCACAAGCTGAATATGAGCCAGAAGTGTGATGTGGCTACAAAAAAGCCAAATGTTTTTTCAACCTGCATTAATAGAAGTATAGTCTCCAAATCCTGTAAAATACTAGTTCCCCTCTATTTAGCACTGGTTAGGCCTCATCTTGAGTACTGTGTCCACTTCAAGATGGATGCTTGGAACAAGTTCAGAGCAGGGTAACAAGAACGGATGCTTGGAACAAACTGGAACAAGTTCAGAGCAGGGTAACAAGAATAATCAGGGGCCTGAAAACTAAGCCTTTGAGGAAATACGGAAACAGCTGGGCCAGTTTAGCCTTGAGAAAATAAGGCAGAGGGGAGATATGATAACACTTTTCGAATACTTGAAAGGCCGTCATACAGAGGAGGGGCAAGATCTGTTCTCAATCATCCCAGAGTGCAAGACAATGGGCTCAAGTTAGATTTTGATTGTGAGGCGCAAGCAATCTCTTGCTAATTCTTTTTTACTTGTAGGGTAAAACAGTGTGATACTTGACAAATGGGGTTTCTTTTTGGCATCCCGGTTTGCTTCAGATGTGTGAATTTTATCTGTTACCATTATTTTGCTGACATCTCCCCCCTAATGTCAGCTTTGGGAGTGTTCTCCACAGGATAGAGCAAAGGAAACCTTCTCCCCCTTGTCTTTTTACCATGATTTGAAAGTTTCACTGGGATCCAGAAGCAAATGTATAAAGACAGGTTACTTACCTGTAATCATGGTTCTTTGTGGACCTCTATGAGTTCACACAAAAGGGTTAAATCAGCCCCTGCGCTGGACCTCTCAGAATTTTCTAGAGCTTAAAGAGAAGAGTAACAAAGTTTAAGTTGCCCCCAATAGGGCATGCTGCACCCGCCTCAGCCTCCAGTTCCCTTTATCCGCCACAATAGCCTGAGCTATGCTAGATATGTTCAGTGACGGATAGTGGGGAGGCAGGGTGGGATTGTGTGAATTCACAGAGGTCCACTTGAAGAACCATGGTTACAGGCAAGTAACCTGTCTTTCTTCATCATGGCCTCTGTGAATACACACAAAAGGGTGACTAGCAAGCCCACTTACTGGAAGGTGGGACGTCACTGAAGTATAGATGTCAACACTGCTCTTCCGAAGCTCACCTCCTTTTTAGCCCTCAGGTCTAGACTGTAGTGAGTTATGAAG